CTGACCGATATCATGGCTTCAGCTCATCTCAAAACAACATTCTGACCAATATCATGGCTTCAGTTCATCTCAAAACAACATTCTGACCAATATCATGGCTTCAGCTCATTTCAAAACAACATTCTGAACAATATCATGGCTTTAGCTCATCTCAAAAGTATGACTATATTTGGCAGCCACAAGTAACAAATCAGAAAAAGTTGTTCATTAAACATATTGTAAGGAAATGTTAGTCGTCATTTTATGTCATTTGACAAGTCAGAAAACACTTTGTTTGAATCAATAAGTAAATGTTTGTTTTATAGGCTGCCTACAGATATTCAAGCAGAATCTATACCTCTCATTCTTGGTGGAGGTGATGTTTTGATGGTATGTATCTCAGGTTGATGTATTGATGGTATATATCTCAGGTTGATGTTTTGATGGTATGTATCTCAGGTTGATGTATTGATGGTATATATCTCAGGTTGATGTATTGATGGTATGTATCTCAGGTTGATGTATTGATGGTATGTATCTCAGGTTGATGTATTGATGGTATATATCTCAGGTTGATGTATTGATGGTATGTATCTCAGGTTGATGTATTGATGATATATATCTCAGGTTGATGTATTGATGGTATGTATCTCAGGTTGATGTATTGATGGTATATATCTCAGGTTGATGTTTTGATGGTATGTATCTCAGGTTGATGTATTGATGGTATATATCTCAGGTTGATGTATTGATGGTATGTATCTCAGGTTGATGTATTGATGGTATGTATCTCAGGTTGATGTATTGATGGTATGTATCTCAGGTTGATGTATTGATGGTATGTATCTCAGGTTGATAATTCAAACTACAATTTATTGCAGGCTGCTGAAACTGGTAGTGGTAAAACTGGTGTAAGTACAGAATTTTAACATTACTAGAGGACCTGCCATGCCATAATGAACTTTGTGTGACATATGGAGCATGAAGTGATGGATTGGCGCAGAGTTCAATATAATTAGTCCCCGTTCGAACGCAGTCCGAAAACGGGAACTTATGTTTTGACCTCCGTGTGTTCGTGCGTGTGTGCGTGCGTCCGGACCTGTATCTTAGAAATGCCTGGACCAATCACAATCAAACTTCACACATACATCATACATGATATTATACATATGCACGTCAATTTGTTTCACGATTTTGTTCAAACTTGGTATATACATTAGACATTATATAGGACCTTGATGCACATCATTTTGATTTTCAGATAAGATTCAAATGATCGACTGGTGGCCATTTTGTATTAATGAATGTGGTTCTCGTGCCATATCTCTGACTTACTTTCACTGATTATGTCAAAGATAGACAGATATATTGGTTTGACGATCCTATTCAAAATGGCCGAATGGTAATCATTTTTGTGCTAACAAATCATCAAATATCAAGCATTTCTGGCATTTATGGATGGATTTCGTTCAAACTTGGTACATACATTAGACATTACGGGTTCCTGATGCACGTCATTTTATTTTTCGGATTGAATTCAAAATGGCTGACTGGCGGCCAATTTGTTTTAATGATTGGGCTTCTAGAGCCATATCTCCTAAATGCTTTGACAGATTATATTCAAATATTATATATTCGTTATACATCATGTTATATATATACATGTATTCAAAATGACTGATTTTGAATGCTGTTCCAGAGCAACATTTCTCAATATGGACAAGTACTTGTTTGACGATCAGATACAAATGTCAATCATTTTAATGTTAAAAAAATCATATTCCTGATATGGTTATATTCCAGCTGTATTACTATAAACAAAACTATATATCTTAAATTTGATGACTAACAGGGACTGTGCCATGCATGGCTTGTTGTTAATATATTGTAACATCAATACTAGTGAAGATTTCACTAAGCAGAAAATGGAATGAAAACATCGAAGTGAACTGAAAAATGGTGTTATGCTATCTGCCCTGAAAATGTCAAAAACAGGGACTTATTGTTTGACTTCTATATGTTCTGCATGTGTGTGTCTCCAATTGCATGTTGGACATGTCTAGACCAATCACATTCAAACTTCACACATAGTTCATGCAGCTTGGGATACTTATACATGTCCATTGGTTTTGCGACCTGATTTAGTGAGCCTGCATTTTGTGCTATAAATTCTTCAATATCAAACATTTCTGCAATTCCAGAACCGACTTGTGTACAAATCTTATCATTTGTATGCATATTAATTTGTTTGACCATTAGATTCAAGCTAGCCGAATGATGGTCCTTTTATTGTAAACCATGCATTAAACATTTCTATCATTACCAACCCACATCTTGGTTATACATGGACTGCTATTGTCCATCCTGGTACATACATTGAATATGTATATAACAGGACTACAATGTTTTTTTCAGTGACATACATTGGCAGATCACTGAGACCCAATCAACATCATTAGTGTTTGTTTCATTAGGCAGTAGTAGTCTGTGTGGTAAAGTTTAGCATGCTTGTCTTGCATACTACAGGTTGTCGTTCTGAATACTTCCACAATATATTTCACACCATGGCTTGCAACATTTAGTTAAATATTTCTTGCAATTAAAATCACTGAAAAAAATAACTCACATACCGGTAATAGCCAGTACCGCAATCAGAACAATTTCACACCATGGTCCCATCAACTCCATGTATGATAAATTGTTACCAAATCATGTAACCAATCCCACAACATTTTCAAATTAGTGGTGCTAAAGAAGTATTTTTTACTTGACTTTTTTTTATGATTAATTACATTGCAAAAAGTCGTGCAACATGATATACTAATTAGTGATGTAGATAGTGTGTATGCTGATGGTGCTACAAGGAAAAAAATGACATAGCTGAGACCTCTTGAAATACGTTTGAGTACTTCCGTTTTTTCTTTTAAATATAAATCAATTTCAGACAATTCTATTCAGCAGTTTTCTGAACCAACTAGACTGCTTGTGGCAATGTTGTCACAAATTGTCCTAATCCAATAAAACAACTAATATTTTTGACAGATGCAAACTTGATTTCTGATTTTATTTTAACACACTATACATGTACTTCCTGTAATTAGTCCCGTTCAGCCCCAGTCCGAAAATGAGGAATTATGGATTGGTGATTCTGCCCATCTGTGTATACATGTACCTACATATGTCATAGATCTTGGGATATATACATGTATGTATGTACAATTTGTTTCATGATCTGATTTAAGATGGATAGATTTTATTATGTACATACAATGTACATAATGCAGCCTTGATGCACATCATTTTACTTTTCACATCTGATTCAAGATAGTCGTTTAGAATAGAATGGCGTTTATTTAAATCACCAAATCATTCCGAATCCAGATCTCCATTATACATTGGTACATGCAGTGTTGGTACTGATGCTATGTATGTATGTATATATAAACAATAATAGAGGAATTAATACACAACTACATGAATATTGAAACTCAACAGCTCTGTTTCGTAAGGTACAAGTACATCACTCATCAGGAGCCAACGAGCATACATTATAAACATTATTAACATATTAATTAAAATAAAAACATGCATGTTACATGATGATACAAGTTCATTTCGTTTGTGGAGTGGTGGGGTCTAAAAATTGTGATAAATTTTTCTTTCAAACATAAAATACATCATTTGCTTGAGCTATTATACGGGCTATCGTGAGCAAGAATTTTCCATGTTAGAGCAACTGAGACCTTTAATGTGACTATGTGAATTGAACAAACACCTGAAAAGAGGTATACTTGCATTAGTTTATGCAAACTCTGACACTGGACTGTAATATTTACCATGGAGTCGCCGCTGTGAAAAGACATATGTACATATCATATTGGTCTTTTGACAATCTCATTTCACAAATAATGTAGAAATACTACAAAAAGCAGAACAAATTTACAAATGCAGACATATTCGCAATATCGGTTACTTTAGTTCATTGACACACCATCAGGTGGACACTATGACAGTAACATCAGTTGTTGAATCTAGACAGTAAAAGACATGACATGGATAAACAGCATTTCTTGACATAAAAGAATCATGGTGGGTTTGTACAATTTGATTCTTGTAAAATTGGGGAAACATGGACATGCCCAAGTCACACATAATTTAGTTCTTGTATTGATCTCAAGCCCTGACCAGTTATCGTCTAATAACAGGGCTGCACATGTTACTGGTTGACCAATTAGAATGCAGTGTTTTAAATTTACCGGTACATTCATTGCAGGCGTTTTGTATGCCAGTCATTCAAGTTGTACATGAAACATTGCAGGATATAAGTGAAGGAAAAGGAAGTAAAGCAAAAATCACTTTTAAAGCAGGTAGGTATTGCACGTAATTCATATAGTAGGTTAGATAAGCTATTGTGATGTAGACTTGTATGTAACATTGTCAGAGTGGTGGTGTTGTATTTAACATGTTTCATACATCTGTCGCTGGACTTGCTAATATATACATATATTGGTTTGACGATCCTATTAAAAATGGCCGAATGGTGGCCATTTTTGTGCTAAAAAATCAAATATCAAGCATTTCTGGATGGATTTTGTTCAAACTTGGTACATACATTAGACATTATGGGTCCTGATCCACGTTATTTTATTTTTTAGATCTGATTCAGAATGGCTGACTTGTCCATTTTGTTTTAATGAATGGGCTTCTAGAGCCATATCTCTTTCATCACATTTGAGCTGAGGTTACTCTCTGAAACCAGAAAACTGTATGTGACATTCATATCTTGTCTTTCATTTATTTCCAGATAGTACTAAAATTAGAATGAATGTCTATGATCGTGGAAACGCCATGGGTGAGTGCACTGCATAGAGGCAAATTAATTAGACAGTATATTTTCAAGATACAGCTGGTAATTTGACTGAAGTAAATTATTGGTTTAGCATACAAATACAAGTGAAGAAAATAAATACATATTTATGCTACTGAGACTTGTGTAGAAGAATGTAATTCATGGCTTTTTAAATATCGCTCTTATTTGATAAATAATCTGCTATTTAATTCATATACATTGTCCACCATTTTGATTTCCAGAAAAGAATTGTGGGTGAAATATGATATATTTTTGTTTTTACTAGCAATCGACAAAGAGGGACTGTTATGTCAAAGTAGAGAAACACATTCATGGCATGGTACAAGATCAACAAAGGGAGTCAAGGGAAAAGGTATATACACTAACACATACTATGCCTTCTATAGTAACCATGTAGTTTCAGGTGGTCTATATGGTTTATTTATATTTGAAATCTTCCTAATTTTTAGTTGTTTCACAGATATCTTGATTAACTAGTTATCAGATTTCAAATAAACTTGGTTTAAAACTTTAAAAACTGTGCATATTGATTACCCAATTTGCACAAATGAGGAAACCTTTGAATATCTTAAGCACCACTCAAGGTAGAATTAAACATGTTGAAAATTAATAATCAGTGATTCAAACATTCTCTAAAAGTTACTAAGCATGCCACTATAACAACCAAAATATGAAATATGTTAATAGGTAGTGTATATGCCATACCAAAGTTTGTTTAAGAAATAACCTGACATTTCTATCATGCTTTTTTTCAAGCAGAGCTTATCATATCAGCTCAGTATGATTGCTTTGATTCTTGGTGTATATGTACCTCAGGTGGACCTTTCTCAGATTTGTTGATTTCGTGGTGATATCTTTGATTCTTGGTGTATATGTACCTTAGGTGGACCTTTCTCAGATATGTTGTTTTTGTGGTGATATCTTTGTGGTGATATTTTGTGGTGATATCTTTGATTCTTGGTGTATATGTACCTCAGGTGGACCTTTCTCAGATTTGTTGATTTCGTGGTGATATCTTTCATTCTTGGTGTAT